TTTCCTCTATTTTGCAACCATACTCAATCGATTCTGTGAACATCCTGATTACCAGCATTTTTAACTGTGCATCTGATAGGTTGGCTATCTTTTCATTGCTTAGTTGTATTTTTTCTGGAGCTTTGATCTGTTCTTTTATGTGGGACATATTTTTATTTTGTCTCAGCTTACCTGTTACATAGTAAGGGGCAGAGCCTCAGGTATTTTCCAGGGTGAGGCAACCCAGGTTGCTGTGTTGTGGCACTGTATGTGGGGGAAGGGTCCAAGAGGGAACAATGGTGCTTGCTTGGCTCTTAGCCAGGTTTCAGTCACTTCCTCTGCTATCCACAATCAAATTGGGCCCTTCTCATGCTGATTCCTGGGTGTGTGGACTGTGTACATTCTAGGACCTTGTGGGTCTCTCCAGTGAACTCTCCTGTGAGGCTGGGATTTTCTCCCACAACCGCAAACCCCACACATTTTTCTCAGTCAGAGGTTGTGAGGCTTTATTTCTCTGCACTAGAACCCTGGGTTGCATAGTCTGTTTTGCTCCCCAGTTGTTCCTCCTGGTTTATCCACACACAAATGTGGGAACACCCACTTCACTAGCTGCTACCTCGCCTGGTCCTCCAGCCACTGCCTTACCTCAAGTCCTCTCTGCTGGGATGCCTATCTCTGCCCCTCCTCCTGGTCTGGATGAATGTTTCTTCTTTAAGTCCTTGGTTGCCAGACTTCCATACAATTTGATTTTCAGGCAGCTCTGTTTTATTTTTGTTTTTAAATTTGTTGTTGCCCTTCCTTTGCTTGTGCGGGGAGGCAAAGTGTATCTACCTACACCTCCATCTTGGCTGGAAGTTCATCTTTCACTTTCTTGATTAGTGTGTGGATATTTAGGGGAAGACCAGATATGGGAAGGACCTGGGGCCAGGGTAAGATAATGAGGTAGGTAACATCTAGAGCTCCTTGCCCCAGAAGAAGGAGTAATGGAAACTCTGTGACTCGCTGGAAATCTCTGTACACATTCCAGAGTCTACTCAGTGATTAAGGGTGTGGGCTCATTCACTCAGAAGTTAAGCTGGTATATTAGCTTGAAACTGGACTCAGCTTTTTAAGATAGAGTCAGCACTGTCCATACATGTGCTATCACAACAGAGGACAAACCCCTCACTCCACCTAAGGGATAGGATACCAGGTCAGGAATGCTCTTTCCTGGGAACTTAAATTTGAATGGACCAAGGAAGGAAACATACCTGGTCATCAGGTTATAAGATATACCAAAGAGAGAAGTTGATGTTGGATGGAATTTCCAGGAAGAAGAAGCTACATGTATAGAAACTCAGGAAGCAGGATGGAGCATGGGCTCTTTAGGGAACAAGTAGATTAGTTAGTAGCAAGCAGGAAACTGAGCTGCGTGAGACTTGGAAAGGTAGGTAGCATTCGTGCAAAGAGGTGCTTATGTATTATACTGGGAGTTTATTTTGTCAGTGGGGAAGAGTGTCATTGCATTATTGTAGGCAAGGGAATGAGTCACATTATCAGATTAGCATTTTAGAAAAAATAATTATTGTGGTTGTGTGGAACTCAGGTTAGAGGAAATGAAATTCCAAGGAGACTTATAAGTCTAGCACAGTAATAATAGCCAGCATTTATTGAGCTCTTATCAGGCACTGACATAAACTTTAACTAAGTAATTTCATATAATTCTCACTGCAACCTATGGCAGTACTGTTATTTCTTAGTAATATACACTTTGGAAAAATGAGTTTTAGAGTAGCTAGGTAATTTGCCTAAGATCATACAGATGGTATATGATAGAAAAAAGATGAACAAAGGCTGAATGATTGCAAATAATAATCTTAATTACATTGCCATACTGCCTCCAAAAATAGTTTTTATAAAGACTGACATTTGAATGTTTGCTCTATGTATTTGTTCAACCATTTACATGGATTATTTTATCTAATCTAAATAAGAGATGTTGAGTGCCTTTCAAGCACTGTGACAGGGGGCATGGAAGGAAAGGACTTCCTTGGAGATTCATGCAGAATTGTCTTGCTGACAAATTCAGTATAGGAGGATGCATGTAGAATGGCTTCCAGATTTCTAACTGGGACAACTGGGTGGTATTTATGAGAACTGGGGAGAGGAAAAGGAGCAGGTTTTGACAAGAAAGTACTTAGTTTGTTTTGAATATGTGAAGTTTGAGGTACTAGTAGGCCATCCTAACTGGAAATGTTCGATAGGGATCCAGAGAGAGGAGTCACTGGGATAAGGGTATAGTGAATGCCAGAAACAGCGATAACAACACAGAAAACCTTTATCTAGATGGAGTGTGGCCCAGATGGTGTCATGAATTGAATATGACTTTTTATATCAGCATGATCCCAGTGGTAGGGTTTACTGTTCTGGAGCTGTCTCTCAACCTGCCTATTTTCTCCCCACTTGTTCTCCACCTTGACACTCTACACTAAAGACTTCATTTCACCTGAAACGACACCTGTCTTCTTAAATGACTGTCTTCTGAACAATGGATAAAACTTGCAATATTTTAGATATTGTTAGTGGTTTAGGGCTGCTGCTGGTTATTGTAATAATGCATTTTAACTGTTATTTTTCACTAAAACATATGTCTTCAGGATGCTTAAGCAAAGAGGACTCATGTAGCAGTGTGATCTATGCAACAAACTTAATATGATAGAAATAGAAACTCACAAATTTGGTTGCAAATGTAAATACAGGTGGTTACAATACATGCCTTGGAGAAAGTCCAAAATGTTGAAGAAAGCAAAGTGATTCCTGTCTAGTAGTAAGATAATAATTTTTCTATGGAAATCACTGATCTTATAAGAAAATGTTGGCTATTATATATTATTAAATGCTATTTAGCATCTATTCCACTTTAATGTAGCCAGATTGCACTGGAGGGAACTTGGGTTTTAGCTTTTTTTTTTCTCTTATGCTCTGTCAGCAAAGTAAATTCTAAATCCCTAAAATCTCTTTGCCAGACTTTATGCTCCTTAAGGCTAGCAAGGCTTGTGTCTTATTAACTTATGTATCAATCCAAGTACTTCCTATCGCGGGTTCTAGAAAAATTTCTAGGTCAAAATGGAATCTTTACACATTATCTGTCACTATTTATCCACACAAGAATTAGTAGTTATTTTAGGCTGCTAATAGACATATTTACTGCAACAGTTTGCTTTTAACCTCAGTGAGTAAGGTCTTAGGTAATTTTATTTTAAGCTTACATTCACAGTTTTAGTTTTACCATAGAGGTTATTGGTTCTTTAATGCCATTATTTCTTTTTCTTCCTCTTAAGACATTAAGAACCTATATAAATAGCTGTTTATAAATAAAAGAAAACTTTAGAATCCCTTTGACATAGAAATGTGGAAGGTTCTCCTCAGTGACAAACTTTTGGTATGAATTTGAGGGGTACATTGTTTATATAGCCTTGCTTGTACTTAGGGAGGAATGAATGTGGACACTTGAGATTATGTTGCTGCCACTTTGCAGTGACCACACGTATAAGAGAGCATCTTTACTTGCTTCAATTCAAAGTGCTAGGGGACAGATGCAGGCTTTTGTATGATTTGGAGGGACTTTTGCTGTATCTACAAGACTCTCTTTTCATCAGAGTTCCCAGTGACTTCAGTCATCAGTGTTTTTTCCCACCCTTACCTGCTGGGGCTTCATCTTGTGGTATTTCAGCCTGTTGTCAATGGCCTCTTTAACATGCTCAGGGATGTACTCCATGGGGAGAGGGGTCCAGGCTTTCAAACCAACAAGGTGCAAAGACCAAATATGTATCTTCTTATCAGGGGAAGGAAAGTGGGGTATTCTATGCCTAGAGAATGAAAAAGTACTATGAAATACCAAATTAGATATTGACTTTTACATGCACTCTTCAAGGATATACTTCTATCTCTTCAGACATCTTATTTTGCTTTCATTTTTCTCTCACAGTTGAATCCAGCATGACCTCCCTTAAATCTAACAAGCATGTGGTTGAGTCTAGAATGTTGCAGCTTTCAGTTTAACAAAAATTTTCTGTCTTTGATTCCCTGGCATTAAGTTTATAAGATGTGTTTTTGTTTCTAATGACAGCACTCAATTCTTCTCTCCTCTCCCTTTATCCAGTCCCTTTTCATATTTTCTAAAGACAAAGGCCAAGAAATCAACTCAGTCAGGTCTCATCTTTGAACTGGTCATAAAGAAGCACTTTTCCCAGTCTCCAGCCAAAGAATGTACCTTGTTTTGTTCTCAGGCTGAGCTATCTCAATGGCAATACACACTTCACCTCCATGTTTCAAAGGAGGGTTTTGAAGGAGACTTGATGATACTTTATATCACGTATTTCACTCAGAACCTGTATCTTTCCTACTATTAATAACCAAATTTTTGTAACATACCAAATGTATTTCTACAGAAATTCTGACTTAAGAATGCTAACCTTTCTGAGAGTTCTGATTTAAAACTCTATGTATAGATTTTAATAATACTGTGAAAAAATATTTTTTTCTTTTGAAAATTGCTAGGCCACTTAAACCACTTTCAAACAACTGTTATGTCCTAAAATCCTATTGATTTTACTTTTACCTGCTTCTAAAAATGCTTTATTTCTTATATTTAAAGTAATTTAGAATTAATTTTATTTTTAGAACTCTATAGTATTATGGATAAGTATTCTCTGTGTCCTACGTATTTATGGTTCCATGTCATTTAGCAAATGACAGCATACATAATAGGACTATTTATGGTTGTTTTAAGAATAGAACACTTTGTTGATTTTGTCAAGACCTGATATATATCTTTTATTATCACATAAATAATAGAAATTCACACTGTAATCAGATAAGTCTTAGAGCCCCTCAAGCAAAGATGTGATTACAGATACAATTAACAGTTGTGCCTTGACAATTTTTGCTTAAATGATTAACAGAGATTTTTATCTCACTTAGAAAAGAAGGTACTCCTCTCCCATTTCTATCTGACAGAAGTTGTTTTTCCCCAACACTAGGCATGCAAGAAGCCTCAATGAAGCTTACCGAGTCTCTGCATGAAGTCTATGAGCCTGATTGGTATGGGCGGGAAGACGTGAAGATGGTCGGTGAGGTAAGAGCCAGGATGGCAGCATGCCAGAGGCCTTGGGGGCTTCTGCAAGGCTACTAGCAAATTCTGCCCACTCAGCCTATTTCCTGAGTCCATCTCACCACTTCTTGGTCTTAATCATGAGGGGATACCATGTACTCAGAAAAGCACCATACAGATCTGCCACCTAGATCATCCCCAATTCAGTGATTAGAGAACTGATTGTAAAACCACTTAGGTAGAAAGCTGTGTGTTAAAAATCATTTTTCCTCAAAATAAAAATAGCATTTTTCTATCTCTTACTCCATATCCTGACAGTGCATTTCAGCAGGAGAATGGGTACATGGCATGAGTTTGTGAACCTGCTTCACCTCTGCACCCTTTCTTTTCCCATCCCTCCTCAAAAGAAGGGACAGGAACTTGAAAGAGCATCTATTTCACTTAAAGAACACATAACCCATTCACTGCTTGGAAGAACCTGAGGAGAGATGCAGTTGGCCTGCTAATAGGAGTTTGACTTGTGGAGGACTTTGTTCTTCGACATATCTGAACACCTGAAATCCATCTCTAGCTGAGAACCTTCTAAAAGTGAGCAAATGGGTGTCACTCTTTTGAAGGTAGAGTGGGGAAGATCTGTGTGATGTGTGAGGTTGGATGAGTTCTTTAACCTTCTTGGGCTTTACTTTCCTCATTTGCAAAATGAGAATAATACTTGTGCCTACTAATAACACATTTATAGTTTTTGTATTTATGTCACTGCCATCATGCACAATGCATGTATTATTACTGGCATTAGAAAGCCACCTGTTAGGGGTTCTCTCATATCCAAGTTCTTTATTAAAAATGAAGGGTAGTTTGTCATACCCCACTGCATGGAGCCAATTGCTGCTCATTGAAGCATAGGAGACCAGGGAGATACAGCTTCCATGTCTCAGGGGTAGGTATGATATGTGATGAGCTGACCATCTACACAACAGTTGGAAAAATGGATTAACAGTTCAATGCCAGGCTGCTCCTTGAGAATTCTGACATCTGCAGTTTGATCTTTATAATCTCATTATGACTGAGAGAAAAGCAGAGATTTATTTATGAGGAAAGCTCTTGTTGGTTCTGTTCCCTCTTTTGAAAACTTTCAGGATATGAATTTTCCAAAACTAGCCTCCACATACCATTTTCTAATGCAATTATTAAGTAACTACAAGAAATATTGTAATGCAATATTCTAATGCAATTATTAAGAAATATTGTCACATTTCTTCAATAACAAAAACACTGTTTTAACATTATGTTAAATGCTTAACTCATTTTGTAAATTTCTTATTAGTAGGGTATAATTTAGAAATTTGTCATGAAATGAAGAGTTTTTAAGGGAATAAGAGACACCTGTGTTACTGGCTTTTCAGAACACTACTACATTGTATGAGTGGCAGATGCCATTGTTGACATTTATTTCTAAGGAAACAGAGGTTGCTAGAATTTATGGAATCTTCAGTTGGAGATCTAAATATGGATTCTTTGAATGGTGAAAGAACTGAACACTGCATTTTAAGAGGGTCTATTCAAATCAGAAGAGGTACCTTTTTATACAGAGGATTTAAACATTTTTGTATGCATAAAATGTTTGATTTTGGATCTGTAACAAATAGGATTGTTTTTTGAAGAAACGAAAAGAAATATCCCTCTCACGCCCACCCCCCAATATAATTGCAACACAGTAGAAACTTATCTCTCTTACATAAAGGACGTTGAAGGTGGTGAGCCAAGGATGGTGTGCTGGACTCACAAGCATCAGGGGTCCATCTTTGACAGTCTCGCTGCCTCTGCTAGGTTTAGGATGACTCTCTGAACACTGGCTCTCATTTCTGCATTCTAGTTAGCAAGAAGTAAAATGCATGAAATATTAGCATCCTTTATGGGGTACTTTCTGAAAGTACATCACATTGTCCAGAACTTAGACTCATGGTTACATTTAGTGCAGTGAAGGCTGGGGAATATAGTCTATCCTAGGCAGCCCTGTTCAAATGACCTCTTTTTCCTTAGATAGTAAAAAAAAAATATGACAACAGTCAACAGAACAATAGGCATGTTGTATGAATGAGTCAAAATGATACCTATTTTTGTATGATCAGCAAAAAGTATGTTTTGGTGTGCCACAAAATTTTAGTGATTATTTTATGTGTGCTATGAAATGAAAATGGTTGAAAATAGCTGATTTAGTCTAATGCCTAGACATAGTGATAGTAGTAGTAGTAATATCTAATATTTATTGTGTATTTATCATAACTGGTACTCTATAAATGGAAGATCCTTTCCCATTATGGCAATAATTTTTTTGCTCTTTTTGTGGAAGTTTCAGCAATGGTAGTTTCTTTGGAGTGGTTTCTAGTTTCCTAGATGGCTTCAGAAGCAATCCATGTGGAATTCTTCACAGTTTCTTAGCCCCAAAGGTCACCAATGAGGATCTACATTTTTTAATAATTCAGAATCAGAAATATATATTTTTAATGAGCCAAACTTTTAAATAGCTTATATTGTAATTTAGAACTGGTAGCTAAACTGTCTAGATATTTTATTGTATTATTAAACAATCTACATTCTTTCTAGCATCTATTATCTGGGAACACATTACTTGTGAAATATTTTAGTTTCAGATGTTTTTTAGAAGTTTGGTGAAAGGTATTCAATTAGATTAATTCCACATTTATCACTTTATTTCTCTTTTTATTTCAGAAATGTGATGTGTTATGGGAAGACTTCCATCAAAAGTTAGTGGATGGGTCCTTGCTGACACTGGATACCTATCTGGGCCAATTTCCAGACATAAAGGTATTTTACTCTGTGTCTGTAAAGGGAAGAGTTGAATGATTCTATGTACTTATGGAAACATGAGCAAGAGGAATCAAAAGTCAAAGACAATTGCTAACTTTTTGTTTATTTGAGTAGGATTTTTATGCTGTTCCTATCAGTTTGAAATTAAATATAGTTATGGAAATCACATTTTTTCCTTGAGTGCACTGCTCTAGCTTTTTATTTCTCTACAGAAGTCTTTTTAATTTTATAGATACAAATCAGAAATCAGAGAGCCCCCATATTTTAATCTTGTTTGTGTTAAAACCTTTTTATTATATAGCATTTGACAAGAGTTTATGCTAGAATAAACAACAATTACAAGGAAAGAAGAAATCTCATTGCAAATGTGAAAGCAAAGTCTGATTTTTCTTTGTGTACTGTTTATTTTGCATATGTTCATAGCACAGCTGCATAGTTTCTCTCCTTGACATTTTCTGGTTCAAATCAAATTACAGTTGAGCCTTGAACAGCATGTAGGTTAGGGGAATCAACCTCTGTGCAGTTGAAAATTCACACGTAACTTTTGGTGCCCCAAAACCTTAACTGTAGTTGTCCCTGGGTACCCATGGGGGATTAATTTCCAGAACCCTTGCAGATGACAAAATCAGTGGATGTTCAATTCCTTTGTACAAGGTGGTGTAGAGCAATGCATAGCATCAGCTCTCTAATTCTGTAGATTTCTAACTACAGATTGAAAATACTGTTTTCAATCTGTGTTTGGTTGAAAGTGAAAATGCACACCATAGTATAGAGATAGCCAACTTTATATTTAGTGAAAAGAATCCATGCATAAATGGACCTTTGTAGTTCCAATCTATGTTGTTAAAGGGTCAGCTCTATTAAAATGTAATCATTTCATATGCATTTGCATCTGGATCTAAAAATATTGTGTCTAAAATCTTTATCTTATATGACACTTGGATCATTGAAAGGGAAATGCAGAAATGAAGGTTTGAATATTGTAGATTTGGAATTGACTTTAGAGGTGAAGATGGATTTTACTCCACCAAAAAACTACTAGATTTAATAAATGCATTCAGCAAAGTAGCAGAATACAAAATCAGTACTCAGAAATTGATGGCATTTTTATACACTGGTAGTGAGCTATTAGAAAGAAAAACTAAAAAAGCAATCCCATTTAATATTGCAATAAAAATTATATAAGATATGTAGGAATAAATTTAACCGAGGAGGTAAAGACCTGTACTTGGAAAACTATAGGACGTTGAAGAAAGAAATTGTGGAAGATACAAATAAATGGGAGCATATACCATGTTCATGGATTGGAAGAGTTAACATTATTAAAATGTCCATATTCTCCAAAGCAATCTATAGATTCAATGCAATTCCTATTCAAATATCAAAGCATATGTCACAGATCTAGAATGAATACTCCAAAAATTTATATGGACCAGAAAAAGATCCCAAATAGCTTCAGCAACCTTGCAAAAGAACAAAGGTGGAGTATCACAATACCTGATATCAAACTATACTATAAAGCCACAGTATGGAGACTGACTGAGGAATGCGATTGAGTGGGCTTGGGTGAAGGTGGGCAAGGGGAGAAAAAGTGGGGACAACTATGATAGCATAAATAACGAAAAAAGAGGTGTTTTTAAAACCATTTAGGTTGTCTATAGCAAATGGTAGCATTAACAGGACTATCCCCTACCCCCAGTTGTTTTCTTTGATCAAAGAAGAGTGCCAAGTAAGACAGCCACATACTTTCCTTTCTGTAAACTGAGAAAGTCATGAACCAGCATCTGTGGGCATCTGCAGTATCTCATTAGGTGACTTTTGATGAGAAGTTTCATTCTTGCCTGGCTGCCTTTGTAGCCATTGCCCAACACCAGATAATAATCTGTAGTAATATACATTGGCCTTGGCCATGAAACATAGTGAAGCTTCTTGGCCAAAACACCACTCATGTCAATAAATTAATTTCCTTGGGTCCACACACAATGCCTAATGCTAATTGACCAACATCTCCAGAGTGTATTTTGAGATACCAGGAGCACCCAACAAGAACCAAAGTGAATCAGACTAGTTACATTAGCCTTGTTGGGAAAAAGTCAAAGAGAACAAATCCAAGTCATAAATTCTCAATGATGTTATCATAATAAGCAGCAGCAGGCTTTATTGAGCCATTGCATGAGTATGTTCAATTAAAATGTATATGTCAGTCTTTTTAATTTTCTGAGAAATCAAAAAATTAATTAAAAAAATTCTGCTATCTCCTTGTTGATTTTCTGTCTGGAAGATCTATCCATTGAAGTCAATGGAGTGTTAATATCCCCAACTATGACCGTATTTCTGTCTATCTCTCCTTTTATGTCTTTCAAGACTTGCTGTATGTATTTAGGCGCTCCTATGTTGGGTGCATAAGTGTTTACTAAGTTATATCCTCTTGTTGGATTGTTCCCTTTATCATTATGCAGTGTCCTTCTTTGTCTCTTACTACAGCCTTGGTATTAAAGGTCTATTTTGTCAGGTATAGATACTAGTGCCCCAGCTTTTTCCCCCCTTTCCATTTGTATGAAATATCTTTGTCTATATCTTTACTTTTAATCTGTGTGTATCTTTTGATCTGAGATGGGCCTTTTGGAGGCAGTATATATGTCAGACTTGTTTTCTTATCCATTCATCTATGCTGTGTTTTCTGGTTAGAACATTTAAGCCATTTACATTTAAGATGATTATTGATTGATATATATTTAGTGCCATTTTATTGTTAGACTATTTTCTTCTGTTTTTCTTCTTCACCTCCTATTCCTCTCTTCTTCTCCCTCCAAATCTCCCTCCTCCTTGCAAGCCCTTTAACATTTGTTTCAGTACTGGTTTGGTGTTAACAAACTTCTTTACCTTTTCTTGTATGGAAAGCTCTTTATTTTTCCTTCAATATTAAACGGTGGATTTGCTGGGTGGTCTTGGTGGTAGGTTCCTACTTTTCATCATCTTGAATTTTTAACACCACTTCTTTCTGGCCTGAAATGTTTCTGTTGAATAATCAGATGATCATCTATTTGGCACTCCCTTGTAGGTTACTACCTGCTTTTTTTCCCTAGCTTTCAGGATTCTCTCCGTGTCTTTAAACCTTGTCATTTTAATTATTATGTGTCTTGGTATAGGCATTTTTGGGTCCAATTTGTTTCAGACTCTCTCAGCTTCCTGGACTGGTATGTCTTTTCCCTTCACCAGATTAAAGAAGTTTTCGGTCATTATTTCTTAAAATACATGCTTGATCCTTTGCTCATTCTCTTTTCCTTTTGGTATTTCCATGATGCGGATGTTGTTATGCTTCATATTGTCCAAAATGTTTCTTAAGCTCTCTTCATTTTAAAAAATGTTGTTGTTGTTGTTGTTATTGTTGCACTGCCTGGGTGTTTTTTTATACCTTGTCCTCCAAATCACTTATTCGATTCTCTGCTTTTAACCTACTGTTTATTCCTTCTAGTGTATTATTCATTTCAGATATTGCACTCTATTTATGACTGGTCTTTTTTATGTTTTCTATGTATTTTTTCATGCTATTGAGTATTCTTATAATCATTACTCTAATTTCTCTAGCTTGTCTCCATTTCATCTAGTTCTTCTGGAGACTTCTGTTATTTCATTTGGGGTATGTTTTTTTGTCTTTTCATTTTGACTCCTGCTTTGTATTTTCTGCATTAATTGTTAAACTAATCAGCTGATAAACTGATTTGTTTTTAAACTAATCAAAGTGTAATCAGCAGTCTGGCTTAGGCTACACAGGGTAGTGCAGAGTAATTCCTGTGGGCAGGGCTACTGTTTCCCCTCAGGCTGCTGCCACTGGGAGGTGTGTGCTCTGCCTGAGAAAGATGGCTCCTGTAGTATAGGTAATACTCAACACAGGGATCCTGGCTGATGTTCCTTCAGTTGTCACCCCAGAGCCACCAGCCCAAGACTGTCCTCAAACATCTCAAGTCCACCCTGTCCTCCCTCTGCCAGAGCCCAGGGTAAGTGGCTGCAAATAAAATTTTATGCATTGGCCCTTTAAGAGGCTCTCTATGTCTGCAGCCCTTTCTCCATGGCTGATAGAAACCCTCTGCTTTTCTCAGCTGGACATTATCTAGGATTCTTTCTGGCTCTGGTTTTGTAGGCTGGGGAGCCCAGCTTGGGGTTTAGACCCCACATGTCTCAGGTACAATACACTGGCCACTGAAATATCCCTCCAACACTTTAGCTGCCACCTCTGGGAACCCAGCAATTCCTCTCCCACCTTCTCTTCACTCCCTACCAATCTCACTGTGGTGAAGTAGTTTCTTTTGCTTGTCCTTGGTTATAAGGCTTCTCTGCAGCTAGTAGTCAGTTGGTTATTCAGAATGCTTTTTCTACAATTTAGTTTTAGTTACAAATTGTTCCTGGGAGGAGGTTTGTGTAGCTTCCACTTACTCCTTTACCATCTTGGAACTGCCTTTTGACTCAGTGACTCAACAGCTGAGAAAACATGCTGATAATACCAAAACACCAATTCAAAAGAACTTATGCACCACTATGTTTATAGCAGTGCTATTTATAATAGCCAAAATTTGGAAACAACCTAAGTGCCCATCAGTAGATGAGTGGATTAAAAATCTGTGGTGCATTTATACAATGGAATACTATGCAGAAGAAAAAAATGAATTCCTACCTTTTGCAGCAGCATGATTGAAACTGGAGACTAATGCTAAGTCAAATAAGCCAGTCTGTAAAATACAAATACCAAATGATCTCAGTTATAAGAGAAATCTAAAAAAATAATGAACAAAATAGAACCAGAGGCAAAGAATCATGGAATAGACTGACAGTGGTAAGAGGGAAGGAAGGAGATGGGGACTATTTGAAAAGAGATGAAGGGATTAGTCATAGAATATATATGAAGGACCTATGGACATGGACAATGGTGTGGATATTGACTATGGAAGTAGAGCATGGGTTAGGCAGAGGGGGCTGAAGGGGGAACAATGGGACAACTG